ATCGCGAATGTGGACGCCAACGGTGTGATCAACGGCACCACGACGACCTTCTGCATTGCCGGCTACCTCCGATGCCAGGCCGCGTCTGACCACGCGATCAACCACCTGGCGATTGCGAAGGGCATGATCCGCATCAAGACAGGCAAGAAGCCCCGCGCGAAGAAGGTGAAGGGCCTGAAGGGGATTGGCGCCCGCGGCGCGGCAAAGGGTGCCCCGCAGCAGCGGGGCGCCCGTGCCGCCCCTGGCCAGAGGGGTGCTGCCCAGCGTGGCGGCGCGCAGAAGGGCAACGCCCGCAGGCCCCAGCAGAAGCAGCCGCAGCAGCGCGGTGCCCGTCCTGCCCGGAATGAAGAGGGCGGTCGCCCTCAGCGCGGTAGCAAGAATGCGCCTCAGTCTCGCCAGCAGCAGGGCAGGAACGCGCCTACTCGCAAGTAGCCTCCTTTGCTGGGATGCTTCGCGTCGAGGGTTCTTAGCTGAGGTGGCTTCGTGGATTTCCTCTTTTGTGCCCGTTTTCGCACCTTTTCTGCCGCGCTTCTGCCACGACTTCTCTGGCGGCGGCAAAGCAGCGGGGTGTGATCCGCCGGGAGGAGACCATTAGGGAAGGATGCTTACCTTTTTTACTTTTTCATTTTGTTCGTTTTCTACGGGTAGTATAAGTGTTTATTTCTGAGGGCCATCAGGGGCGTTACTGCGCCCCTCTGTCTTCTTTGTGTAATATTATTACTATTATTACTTTGTATCTGAGCGAAGAGAGGGAATCTCTATTCCACACACCTGTTGTGTGTGTGTTTTTTTCTTTTTTCCTTTTGTGCCTCGCGTTAGTTTTGTAGTACGCACAGCCGGTAAGGTCCTTTTGATACGAGAGATGTCTGCGAATGTGTGGCGTCCGATGAGTACTCCCGCGAAGCATTCGCAGTTTTCGATGGACCTCTTCGACAAATGGCGAAGTGAGCAGAACCGCTCCATCGCGCACCGCGGGAGTGACGCGGATCCGGCGCTGGAGGAGGAGCACAACTCCTTCATGCTGCGCCAGAACCTGAACGCGTACGTGTGCTACAGGCAGCTAGATGAGTACACCACGTGCCTGGAGCGGCACCACCTTATCGAGCACGCAGATCGGGGACACGAGATCAACACGAAGAACCGCATGAATGAGAAGAAGTGTCGCGCCACACATAACGCCTATGCGGCGTGTATGGGTTCCGAGAAGAATCAGGAGACTCTTTTGCATAATGCTGCGTTGCACAACAACTGTCATGATTTTCGCATGGAACTCATGAATTGTTTCACGACAAACCGTGAGTTGGAGACGCAAACGTCGGAGCCGCAGTGCATTCCTTTTTACCGCCAGTTGTTGCGCTGTGGACTGAATCATCTATGGAATGACTACTGGCGTTCGCTGACAAAGTTTGGTGAGGCGGAGGAGTATCACCTCTACGAGCTCTCGCGTGACGACAACAAGAAGCAGGAGTTTCTGCGCGTAATTACTTCGTCGCTGGAGCAGCAGCGGGAATACCTGCGGAAGCAACGTGAGCAGGAAAAGGGATACTTTCTCCCCCGCCCAGAGGGGGAGGCTGGCAACGCTGACGCTACGACGGCGACGCAGCCGTGGCAACGGCCGTACTGAACTTCACATGTGTCACAAACAATTCCACGCCGTTTCTCTGCTCTCGTGGGGAGGTGGAAAAATGAGGCGTGTCAACCGCAGCTGCCACCCCTCCTGCGCCTCTTTTTTTTTTCCCCCTACTTCTCCCCTATTCTCGCACCCCATTTTTTTTTTTCCTCCCTTCACTCACCCTTTATTTTTCCGTTGCGTTTGCCGCGTCGTGTCTATAAGCGGCAGGAGGAGGGAAAAGGGGGACTTGCTGCATGGGGCGCGAGGATGGAAGTTGTGCTTCTGGCTGCTCACAAACTGCAGCTGCTATCGGAATTGGGCGGCGTCTGTGCGGTGCCGGCACAGTCCTCGAGTAGGTCAGAGGAGTGGCATGCGCTTAAGCCAGCTTACGTGCGTCACGGGCCGCTAAATAATTACAGACGCTGCCGTCTGACAGCGCGTTTCTTTTGTAGCATGGACGGAACAGTACTGTCTTCGGCAAATGAGACGCGCGGCTCGAATGGGGCCCATAGCCCTGTTATTCTGCTGCTGCCACTGGGCCGGGATCCTGTGGAAAACAGCGGGGTCATAGCTTTCAAGATGGCCAATGAGGGTCCGCTGATGTCCCGTCGCCACTGTGTGCTGCAACTCAGCAGTAGCTGTTTGTTGTGCGTCCCACACGACTCACGTGAGTGGTGTGCCATTAACGTGCGGGATTGTTGCAGCTTGAATGGCACGTTTGTGAACGGCCGTCGCTTGGCAGCTGGCGCGAGTTCCCCACCAGTGGTGTTTGATCCTTGCGATGCACGGGCTTGGAGGGAGCCGCTGTTGACCCTGGAACTCGGTGCTGGGGCAAAACTCGCCCCCGGTGCTCCCCTTTCCGAGCGGCAAGCGCTGCTGCGGCTGCACGTCTTCGCACGTTTCATAGGAGAGAGACAGGACGTTGGATGGATCCAGCGCCGCTTGCGGGGCGTCTGTTTTTCCAAATTAGCTCCTGGAGGCGCTGCGCCACATCTTTCGCAGAATGAGCATTCCGTTTGCAGCTTGCTTGCAGCGTCAGTGCCAGTCGAATTGACGACGGAGGCGTTGGGAAAGGAAGAGTGTGGAAATTGTGTACACTCCGAGGAGGTTTTGACCTCGCCGTGTGAGGCTTGTGCTGCGGCTGCGCAGAGAATCCTGTTGCTGAATGCAGGGAGCGCAGAGGCCGTTGACGCAAACGTCTATCCGTCCACGCTGCCACGGTGCCACAACCCCAGTGGCCCCCAATGCCTTGGTTCTCCATCCCCGACTCACCGCCCTGAATCTGGGGCGGCCGACAACGACGCGGAGGAATCGATGCTGCGAGAGGCGTGTGTTAATTACGCCGCCGCTCTACCGCGCGACGCATCGGCGCATCTCGTAAAGAGCGCGGAGAAAAAGGGCACGCCAAGGAGGAAAAAATGCAACAAGGCTGCCTCACCCGCGAAGCGACGCGTTAGGGACAGTTTCTTCGACTATCCAGTTGACGTCGGATTGACCGCACGCGATGCGGCCCCAAGACGAACGCCACTTGGGGAAGGAGGTGCGGGAAAAATTGGGGATTGCGGCTTGCCAAGAAGCGCCTCCACGCGCACGGGGCTTGTGTCAGAATCTTTGCTGGCTTCCCGCGATGTCGGCGGTAGCCCCAGCAGCCCTTTGCAGGAATCCCTGTTGGATTTTTCGCCAGTTCTGGTAAAGAAACCGTTCTTGGCGAGGTCCTCTCCGCTTGAGCCTCCAGCAAGGGAGTGCCGTGTAGCGAATACTTCTCGGTCGGTCTCCCTGCCAGCCGCAGCTCCATGCAAGGAGGGGAGCAGGATGGTATCCCCTACTAGAGCTCCACCGAAGCCAGTCAATGCCGCAAACGGAGACATGACGGCAGAGAGGGAGGAAGTGGCGGTAATGTCGGACGCCGTGCGGCATCAGTTGGAAGGAGGGCTAACAGTCACGGCACAGACTTTGAGTTGGAGAAGCGGGAGTTGCTCTTTGCCGACGTCTCAAGACGATAGAGTCGTCGCACTGCCTCGGCGCGGCATGGTCACAGTAAAGGAGGAGGCTGCTTCGGAGGGAGAGGAGCTGGCTGGAGACGCCCGCTCCATCACGGTGAGCGCTTCGCCTCCACCTTGCGCTCCTGCATTGGGTGCAGGTTCGGCAGAGAGCCCGGGCAAGAAGACAAGAAAACGAGGTGGGAAGCGGAAGCGCGCTGCTGACTCGAAAGAGACGGTGAAGATGTTTATTGCGGAACTGCTTGATGGCACTGACGGTGCTTCTCCTCACGAGCGTGAGTAGACATTCGCGACGGTTGTTTCCGCCATAAAGTTGCCTTAGCCGTTTCAACGCTTCGGGCGGATTCGACGTTGGCACACTGCCGAGAAGGTCGGTTCTTCGTATAGGTGCGACTTGACAACAGTTGGGCAAGGACAAATCGATGAACTGTGGGGAACTAGTAGTGAAATTTGCTCTCCGTGGCGTATGTGTTCCCTTGATGCAAAGACTTGGGTGGACGGGTGGACTGTGTGCTTGCGTGCTTTGTGGCCCTGCGGCGCATGAGTTGTGGCACCTCTCAGGCCGCAGTCGATTCTGGTGAGAAAGGGCAGTATATAACTGGCCAGCGTGGTGGCAAGAGCCCCGTGTCCTGTTTTGGATCAAGCTACACATTCTCATCGCAACTACATGCTCGGGTCTAAGCATGGTCTTGCTAACGTTTGAGTATGATCTGTGGTGAAGTAGAGCGAGTTAGCCGGGGAACGAAGTCGTGTTTGCCTTTTTCCTTTTTTTTTGTCTCAAAGCGGGAATACCCTGCTGTCATACTTTAAGTGAAGAAACACGCTTGGGTTACTTTGCGGCCATCATTCGAGTACAGAGTGCACTTGTTCTTATGAGTTGCAACGCGTGTATTTTAGAGCCGTCAAATTTTTGGCTCTCTGCAGCGATCGGGATGAAAAGACCCACAAAGGGGAGGCGCTGCCGTGGTGTGGTTTCATTTGCGCCTCATTGTCGCGTCCTTGCTCGGCACTCGTCGGATGCAAGAAGCTGGGGCAACTGCAACTTGCCGTGCTTCGGTACAACTTTTTTTTTTCTTGTGTCTCAAGCTTCTCACGACTCTTTGCAATACTTTTAACCCTCTGATTCGGCTAACGGCTGTGCTTCTTGTTGCACTTTTGAGCGCGCGCCTTATGCGCGCGCACGGCTGTCTTTTTTCCTTGGCCACCCGTTTATTCCATCTGCTTTGGCGTTGGTTTATCTCTGTGTATGTGTCTGTGTGTTTGGCGGTTTGAGCCTCCGATCTCGCGAAAGTTGAGGGAGGGGGGGGGGGGGGCGTACGCGACGCTTGCTGTTTTGTTTTTGTTTTTGTTCCTTTACTTTCCTGTATTTGTGTTCCGCATTTATTTTGTTTTCTTTGCGCCGTCTTCGCCCTTTACGCCGGTTTTGCTCGTGGCAGCGACCGGGTTTCGCGTCAGTCCGGGGCGGAGGGCGGGAAAAGGCATTTGGTTCCGTGGACGATAGGGGGGCCGGCATGAGCCTCGAGGACCGTGGGGTTGTCGCGCTGTGGGAGGGGGAGTGGATGTGGCTGCGGCGCCACGTGTCGCTGGTGCGCCAGGCGGCGTGGGTGTTTGGCGACCTTGCAGGGTCCGTCTTGGACCTTCCGGCGTACCTCGCCACCGCCAGGGCGTACACGGCGCAGGCCGACCGCTTCGTCACGGAGAAGACGTTACTTGCCAGTGAGCAGCTGCGCCGGAGTCAGTGGATTCTGCCGGCGTTCGGCATCGCCTCCGCAAGCCTCTTTGTGGTGGCCAAGAGTGCACCGTGGGGAACATATCGGGCCTTCCGCAACGGTGCCGTCACGGCCGTGCTGCTCACCTGCTTCCTGCTGCCGCGCGAGCTTGTCAATGCCGTTGACGCCGAGTTGCCATTTGGCACGAACGACACACGCGGCGTGGGGGACAATGCAAAGGACTTGGGCGAAAAGTAGTGCACATGGCAACGAATTGTTTTGTAGTTGTCCTACCTTTTTTTTTTTTACTCTTTTCGCCCCTTCTTTTTCTGTATGCGTGTCGGTTTCCTTCTTGTCCATGCGTGGAGGAGAAAGCAATGGCAGTGATGGAAAAGGCAAAGGCAATAGGAATAAGCCGTCGATGAGGGTGCGAGAGGGGGTGGGCGGGAGCGTTGTTCTGCGCGTGCGTGTGTCTCCGTGTGTCTCTGTGTGTCTGTGGGAACGAGCCCGGAGCGTGTGTCCTCCTCCTCTTTGCTTCGGTTGCTCTATTTTCTGCCACGCGTATCTCACAGCAGTGTGCGACCTTGAGTTTAGCAGCAACTAGACGAACAGCAGCGGGGGAGGAAGGAAAGGAGGAAGGAAGGAGAAGCCAGCTAGCGCGATAGAGAGAGAGAGAGGGAGTGCATGGCTGCGGTGGACGAAGTGCTGCAGAAGGTGCGGGTCCGTGTGGCCCAACGCCGGCTGCGACTTGACGATTTCTTCACGGATTTTGACTCCCTTCGCTCGGGTCGTATTACGGCCGCCCAGTTCCGCCGCGCCTTGGCTGTCAATTCCATTCAACTCACCGATGCGGAATTTGAGGCGCTCAAGGACGCCTTCGGCGCGGTCGCGGGCAACCAGGCGACGGGCAGCAGGACTCCGCGCGGAGGGGCTTCGATGGAGGTGAACTACGCGGCCTTCCTCCACGCTTTGCGCGCGGAGGACCCCCCGGCGGAGCTGCTGACGACGCTGCGGCGCAAGGGAAAACCCCTCTCGGAGGAGGAGGAGCGAACGCTGCGGGCGGCATTCCGCTCGCTGCGCGACGGTGTGCGGGCGCGTGGGCTGCGACTGCGCACGTTGTTTGAGGACTTTGACCCCTTCCGCAGCGGCAAGGTGGCTGCCTCGCGCTTCCGACGCTGCATGCCGTTTGAGGGGATGCGGGAGGACGTCTTGCAGCTTATGCTAAAGAAGTACAGCGACGACGACGGCGAAGTGCTCTACGCCGCGTGGTGCAGAGACCTCGAGGGGGGGGACGCCCCCCCCAGAGGGGGAGACGCACTCCGCGAGCCCCTCGCCGCAGATGTCTCCACGCGGGATGGCCGCGCCGCTTTCCATTGACGAGCTGTTGGAGGTGCTGCGCTCACAGTTCTCCATGTACCGCCTGCGCTGCGACGACTTTTTGCGCAGCTGTGATCACTTTAAGACGGGGTTTGTCACGGCCCCGCAGTTCGCGTCGGCGCTTGGGCAGCTGCGTTTTGTCAACTTTCACCTCACGGCGGAGCACATTGACACGCTGACGCGGGCCTACGCGGACGCGAGGCTGGAGGGCACCGGTAGCGGCACCAACGAGGAGGCCTTTCCACGCGTCAACTACGTGCAGTTCCTCGCCGACACCAACCCCCGCCGTGACGAGGGCGCAGCAGGCACGACGAACTACTACGAACTGACGCGAACCCCCGGACAGTTCCTTAGTGGGGTGGACGACAAGGAGCAGGAGCGGGCGGAGTTCGTGCTGAACAAAGTGCGCCGTTTTGTTCATTCAAACCGCATTCATTTGATTCCAACGTTGCACGACTTTGATCGTGTGCGGAAGGGTATTTATGAACATCGCACGTGTACCGTGTCACGCTTTGTGCGCTCCCTTGCGACAAACAAAATATTTCTCGCCCCAGAGGAGATTTCGCTGCTGGTGAAGTGGTACCTCGTCCGCAGTGCAGACGGCAGCCCTAGCGACGAAGTGAATTACTACCAGTTCGTCATGGACGTCGACCAGGCCCACAAGCCGGAACTCGACCCAACGCGCTTGCTGCGGTCGATTGGGACAGGCGAGCTGCAGTCCCAGAAGGGCGGTTCACACTCGCAGCCGGCGGAGACCGTGCCGCTGGTGCTCGTCAAGGTGGCAAGGCAGGCCGAAGAGCGCCACCTCCGCGTGAACGAGTTCTTCATCGACTTTGACCCCTTGCGCAGTGGCATAGTACAGACGGAGAAGTTTGCTGTGGCGCTCGGCATTGCTGGGCTGCAGCTGCACCCGCAGGAGATTGAGATGCTGCAAAAAGAGTACAGGGCAACGAAGGCGCGTGATCATATCGACGTCACTCGCTTCGTCGCCGACGTTGGCGAAATTGCGCCAACGGCGGTGCCCTCTGTCGCGACGAAGTTTAACTTCACAGCCTCGCGCAGCCGGACAGAGGCCGCCACCGCGATGCTGAAGGACACGCTGAAGAACCCCTCTGAGAGACTCACAGATGCGGAGCGAGAGCGTCTTCCGCAGCTCATTGCCGGGCTCTCCCACGACGTCGCGACGCACAATGCCCTGCTGACGCCCTTCTTCTCAGACTTTGACCGCCTGCACCGTGGGAAGATTACGAAGTCAAACTTCTTGCGGGCCATTGCGCGCCATCGCTTTGTGCTGTCTGCGGCAGACACAGCTCTCTTGTCATGCTACTACGCGTCGCCGGAGGACCCCGAGCTCATTGAGTACACCCGCTTCGTTCGCGACGTTGGTCAGAACGAGATGTCGTCAGGGAGCCGCGGGAAATCGGGGGATGCCATGGACGAGACAATGCCGCTGGCTACCAACGCGTCGTGCGTGGGCTGGAACGACGGCATCTCCCGCGGGGAGGCTGTGGACGAGGAGCTGGTGGAGCGTGTCCTGACACAAATCTGCTGCTTTTTGCAGGAGCGCAAGGCACGGCTCTCCGAATTCTTCCCCGACGGTGATGAGCTGCGCCACCGTCACGTGACAAATGCCCGCTTTCGGCACTGCCTCTCAATTCTAGGTCTTAACCTCTCCGAGGCGGAGCTGCAGGCCCTCGAGGCGGCCTTTGCCCACGCCGAGCTGAAGGGCCACGTCAACTACCCGGCGTTTTTTTCTGTCGTCTCGGGCAAGCTTCAGGCCGGCGTGGGCCTCATGGCGGTGACGCAGCGCCGGCGCGGGTTGGGCATGGCTACCGATACAACTGCGGGGCCGGCAGCAGACTCGGCACCCGAAAAATCTGCCGCACCAGCAGCGGAGGCGGTGTCTGGGGCGCGGCCAGGCAGAAAGACCCTTGCGGAGTCGCAGGCGGAACTGTACCAGTCGGCGATCGACAAGGTGCGTCGGACGCTGGCCTCGCGTCGCTCAACCTCGCTCCCGGCCTTCCGCCAGTACGACCGGGCACGCAAAGGATTTGTGAAGGAGGGGCAGTTCTTCGCGACCCTCATGTCTTTGGGCGTGCAGTTGACCCCGGCGCAGTCGGATGCCCTCCGAAAGGCGCACAGCGTCGGCGGCGGGGAGATTGGCTACACAAAGTTCTGTCTCGTGGCGGACGACGAGCGGTTCGCGTAGACGGCGCGGCTACGAGAAGAAGAAGCTAAAGGACTGTTAAAAGGAAAAGAAAAAAGGGGGAAAAAAAGAACAGGTAAGAGAAAAAGACAAAAGTGTCTCTTTTTTTTTCCTCTCCTCTCTAGACGAGTATGTTCTGCCGCAGCAGTTTATGCCTGATATGTACACAATTGACATTTTTTTTTCTTTGAAATGTCCCCCCCCCCTCTTCTGTCCCTCTTGTTGATTCCTTCGCTGGACTTACCGAGGCGGTGCAGCCACGCACACACACACTCACACAAAATGCACGAGGAAGCCATATATGTATGTGGCATTGGCTTTTTCCGTTGGGGTTCTGTGCATGTAACGGGAAAGGGGTTTTCCCCCCTGCTGGCTGCTGCTGCTGCAATGATGATCCCCGCCTCGCTGCTTTTGTTTTCTGGCACGCTTCCTCTTCCTCCCCTGTTTCGTTGCAAAAATATTACTTTGCCCCTTATTACCTTCTTTTTCTCTCCCTCTATTCCTGCGAGGCGACTCAGTAGGCAAATATACATAGGAGTCCAACAGAAAATAGTTTTCTGCGAACGCGCATATATCGGAGTGGGTCTTTTTTTCCCCCCCGCATTTCCTCCGTATATTCGTGCGTAACTGCAGTTGCGCCTTCTTTTTTTTCTCTGTCGCATTGTATGACCGAGGACGGGAGCAAAATGGCTTCGGCGTCTGGCAGCAACTCGCTCTTCGCCCCGGGTGTGATACTGCGGGTGCAGTACGCCAGTTACCTCTTCGTTGGCCTCATCGCCACGATGCTCCTGCGCGGGTCTCTTGCGGGTGCCTTCAGCAATATCTCCATCCTTAAAAAAGGCTGCGAATTCGCCACCAGCGCCTCGAGCGACTTCTGCACTGCAGAGGTGCTCGTCTACCGCGTCAGCTTTGCGCTGGCGGTGTTTTTCTTTCTGCACCTGCTCTCCGTCTCTGACCTTACGTGCTGCGTTTCCAGCGAGGCACGGGCGGAGTTTCAGCGGCGCTTTTTCTACGCAAAATCAATTCTTCTTGTGGGGTTGTTTGTCGCCACTTTTTGGATTCCAAACAGCTTCTTCGGCATCTACGCCTACGTATGCCTCTTTGCCTCCGCGTTGTTTCTCCTGCTCAGCGTCGTCTTCCTCGTGGATTTCAGCTATCAGTGGAGCGAGGATTGGGGGCGCCGGAGCGATGCGGCCCCGAAGTGGATGTGGTACCTGCTGGGCATGGCGGTCCTCTGCTACTTGGGGGGCGTTGGCGTGAACGTTGCCGCGTTCGTCATGTACGTCCCACACGCGGACTGCAACTACAATGCGTTTGCAATCACCAGTGTGCTCGTGAGCGCCCTCGTTTTCACCGTACTGTCCATTTGGCTTCCACATGGCTCGATTGTTCCCAGCGGCATCGTATTTCTGTACACCAGTTCCGTCATGTTTTTTACCCTTCGCACTGGCACGGATGTGCACTGCAACCGCATTGCTGTGCCCGAGGGCGAGGCCGGCTCGCTGAAGCAGCTGCTCATCGCGAGCGTCGTCAGCAGCTTCGCACTCGGCTACAGCGTCGTGTCTTCCGGGGGCAACGGCAGCGCACTTGGCATCGGCCGCACCGAGGACGGCGAGGAGGAGGACCCTGACGAGGTTGGGCACCTGAGCCAATACATGTTCTTTCACACCACGATGGTGCTGGGCGCGATGTACCTTGCGATGCTGGCCACCGGGTGGCGCGTGGGCGGCTTAGGCGAGGATGCCCTGCTGGGAAGCATCAACGTCGCCTTTTGGGTGCGCACCGCGACCGTGTGGGTGGCGGTGCTGCTGTACGTCTGGTCCCTCCTGGCGCCGTACTTTTGCTGCAGAGACCGCGACTTCGGCTACAGCGTGGAGGACTGGTGAGAAGCGAAAGAAACGAAAAAGAGAAAACAAAAGCACACGCACAAAAAAAAAACGGAACCGCGAAGAAAAAGAACATGGGGCGAGGCTTTGGCTTCTTCCCCCACTTGCCTTTATTCTGAGTGTGTTCGTGTGCGTGTGTATTGCCTCGCCCTTTTTTTTTTATTTGTTCTTTTTATTGTCTCTCTCTCTCTCTATATATATATATATGTGTGTGTGTGTGTGTCTGTGTGTGTGTTTCCGCACTGTTGGGAGGACACGCTGCGGGCTACGGCGCCTCGCAGGAGTAGTTGTTGTTTTTTTTTCTTGTTGTTGCTGTTGTCGTGTTTCCTTCGTCTTCGTGCGTCGCCCTCCCACTGCCCGCGTGGCTGCCCCCGACATGTGCCGCGATGAAGGCCGCACACCCGCACTTTCGTTCCCCCAAAACCCCCTTCACTCTCCTCCTCCGCTGCCGCTGCCACACACATCACACACACACGTGTGCGTGTCCCCGCCGAAAGGAAAAGCGCAGACTTAACACGAAAAAAAAAGGAAAACGAGGTGTAAATAAATTAAGTAAAACTCCTAAGTGAAGAAGCAACTCCTACAGCGAGAAGGAAAGGAAGTAAACAACAACAACAACAAAACAAACAAACGGTAAACGGAATAGGACAGCCGAGATAAATACGACTGAAGCAATGCCTCCGCGGAACGTGACAGCCAACCCCCACAGCCATGCCAACAACATCGGTAGTGGAAGGACCAACGGCAAGCCGGTAGCACGAGGCCCTCATGACCACCCACGCCCGAAGCGGGAGGAGGCCAAGGCAGAGGAGCCTGCATCCCCGCCTGGCCCCATCATCAAGACACAGATTACAAACACCGCCAAGGCGTCCTCTGGCAAGAGCTTTCTCGACGCACTGCGCGTTGGTGCCGGCAAGCGTCCGAGCAATGCGACTCCTGCTGCCGTAGAACAGCCAGCAGCGCCACCACCGGCAGCCGCCGTCGAGGCCGCCGTCGAAGCAGAGGCAGGGCCGGTGGTGGCGGTTGTGGAAGCACCAGCAGTAACCCCGGAGCCTGAGGCGCCCGCCGTAGAAACTGCAGCCCCAGCGGTGGATGTTTCACCCGTTGAGGAGGCGGCGCCGCAACCCGCCAGTGAACAGCCAGTTGTAGAGCCGAGTTCAGAGACGCCAACTCCGCCACCTCAGCAATCGCAATCGCAATCGCAACCGCAACCGCAACCGCAACCGCAGCAGCCTGTGACGCTCCCCGAAGCTAACGCACACTTTAGTTGGGCCAATGACGACGATTACAGTTTTGTGAATCAGTTTACGCAGTCCCAACAGGGGGAGCAGGTGCAGCCAGTCGCCCCTGCCTACCTTGTCCAGTACCCCCAGGACGTTGTCGACGCACAGGAGAAGGACAGTCGGGTCGTGTTCAAGGCCCCAGGGGAGCAGCAAACAATGCCAAGTGCGTTTGCTGCGTTGGATAAGGAGCGGCGCGAGCTCCAAGATGCGCGCCACGACTTTGAGGAGTACCGCAAGCAGACAGAACTTGAGCTGGGTGACAAACGTGCGCAGTTGGCTACGCTTGAGCGTCAACTGCAGGAGCAGAGTGAAAGCATTCAACAAGAGCGTGCCAAACTCATTGAGCAACAACAGCAGTTGCAGCAGCAGCAGCAGCAACAACAACAACAACAGCAACAGCAACAGCAGCAACAGCAGCAGCAGCAGCAGCATCATCATCACTCTCAGCAATCGCCAGTTCGCAGCGCTCCTGTGGCCCCTCCTGCTCCCCCGCAGCAGGTTCCACAGCCTGCCCCCGGTTACACTTACTCCCCTGGCATGCAGGACAATATGCAGTGGGCTCCCCCGCCGCGCCCCGACAACTGGGCACTCAACCATGGCCCCATTGTGCCGCCGTACGAGCATAACCGCTATTACCAGAACATGAATTACCAACCACATCGTGGCAAGCCCTTCGGTGGCAGGGGCGGTGATGTGCCTCCGCACATGGGTCGCGGAAACCCGATGCGCTCGAACCCACACATGCAGGGCAACTTTAACAATCGTCCAATGGGGGCTGGGGACATGCGTGGACCCATGCCTGACGGTGGCGCGAACCCCATCTTCAACCCGCGTTCGCAGGTGGGTTACATGCAGGCGAATACGTATCACAACCAGTGGTGAGCATTAAGCTAGTGGGCTGCAACGCGGATCGTATTTGGGAAGCGAGCGAGCGGCAACTGGGTGAAGGAGGAGGGAAGAAAAGGGGGTGGGGCGAGGTGACGGCAAACAGGAAGCAAAGAACTGAAAGAGCAGCGAAAACAGACGACAGCAAAACTATATACTTGTCGCAGCACTCGCAACAGTAATAGTAGCAGTAGTAGTGGTGGTAAAAACGACGGCGACAGGGGGGGGGGGGGAAGCCAAACACAAAAAAAAAAGATGAGGGAACGAAAACTATGTGTGTGTCAGTGTTTTTGCGTTGCAAATATACTGTCTTCCTCGTCCACAGTTCCAAGATCTTCTGGCAGAGTCCCCACCGGTGGAGGCTGCGAAGCAGAATGGGAGGCAGGGTTGCAAGGAAGGGCTGAGCCAAGCCGGGCGAGAATACAAGCAGAGCCACACACATGCACGTGCATGCGCGGACGGAGAGGCATTGCGCACCCAAGGCCCTGAGGGAGAGAGAAGGAGAGGGAGAAAGAGCGAGAAGAGACAAAAGTGCGGAAACGAAAACAACAAAAACAGCAGCAGAAGTTGCGTGGCGGATGCGAAGAAGCGCCGACTGGTTAACACACAGTCATGGGAGAACAATTTTACCCCCGTGAGGTGAAAGGGGGAGGGGGAAAAAAACCCACAGACAACTCAAAACAGAGAAATTCACATTTGCGTGTTTTGTCGTTGTCTTTGCTTTTTCTTTTTGATTTTCTTCTCTCTTTGAATTGTCGGTTGTTAATGCGTGGACGCTGGGGCGTATTAGTTTGTGGCCTCCAGAACTTTGCTGCTGCCGCCGCTGCTATTACTGTTGCCAGCACTCACCTGCCCCCTTTTTCTCGTGACCACAGCCGCCACTACTGCGGTTCCCGCGTTCGCATCGACGGTTTCAAACCCCCGACGTGGGTGGTGCTAAGATGGAAACGAAGGAACGAAAATGAAAACCAAAGAAATGTCCAAAAGAAGGAATGAAATAATTATGTGCGTGCGTGCGTGCGTGCGTGCGTGCGTGTGTGTGTGACAAAAGAGTGCATGCCCTGGAGGGAGTGAGGGAATAAAAGTGCATATCCACATACACTTGGGGAGAAAGAGAGAAAAAAAAGAAAAGGCAATCAAAGGAACGAAAAATACTAAGTAACAAAAAACTATAAAACTAACCGGTAAAATACTGGAGAAAAGGGGCAGGAAGGAAAAAAAAAGGAAATGCATCAAAGACAGTTAACTCTCTCTTTGTTTCTGACGGCTCACCTCCATTCCCCTACACACACACACATGGGAAACGGTGTGGTGTGCCTACGGGCTGGGACGCCGCGGGGAGCCCGCAGCGAGGCAAAGCAGAGCAGAAGTTGTTTTTAATTATTTGCTTCCTCCTTTTATTGTTTTGGGAAAACAAACAAACAAAAAAAAAGGTTTTTTTTTTGTCTTCTTTCATAACCCCTATCCTTTTCTCCGTTCTATTGTTTATCACTTTTATCTCTTTTTTTTTTTCGTTTTGCTTTTTCTTTGCCCTTGTAGCAGAGCCGCAAGAAGTTCCCCCTCCTGCTACTAATGCCCTCTGTTGCCTTTGCCTTGTGTGACTGTATTTCTGTGTGCATGCCCGCAGTGGGGGAGGGGTGACGCAGATTTGCAGGGAAAACAGCACTTGCCGTGAAAAAGGAGAAGAGGGCTGTGAGAGTGAGTGCATGGGCGAAGGCGAATGAGAGCGATAGTAGCGGGAGGGAGAGCGACGTGGCTCTGTGAAGCGGTTGCCCCTTTATTCTTTGGTTCTTTCTGTTCTTTCTGTTATTTTTATTTTGTTTTCATTTTCATTTTTTTTTTGCTTGCACTACGCCCCCCACACCCAAAAGTGCGCCGCTGCTACGGATAGTAAAGCAAGGAGAGAAACGTCTCTCCCCCCACATCCACATTCACACATTCACACAGACACAAAAAAAACGGCATTGAGGTTAAGGGCTTTCGCCAGGGTGAATAGGGAACGAGGGGGAGGAAGCTGAGCATATAGTTAATTTGTTCGAGTGCTAACTCGAGCGAAAGAGCGAGAGAGAAGGGGTGGGGAAAAACACAAGAAAGGAGGAGCGTACATTATCAGGAAAGAAGGGAGTTTAAACCCGAACACGACGAGGAATTGGAAGAAGCTAAGAAAAGACGTAACGCCGTGTGAAGCAAAGGAAAAAAAAAAAAGTTGTGCGGAGGAGAACAGGGGAAGGGGAGCGCTTTGGTGTCAATACCGCAATCCAGCTGCGACGACAGCGAGAGCTACCGAAGACAGCAACAGCTGCCACAGCAGCAAGAGCAGTATCAGAGGCTAAAGTGCACGGCGCACGGGCAACAAGAGTGAGTGGGTAACTGAGCGCGGCTACACCAGGATGGAGGGTGCAAAGCAGGGCGGAAAGCCCGTCAGCGGAACGAAGCTTTCACCACTTGCGTTGTTGCGGCGGAGCTGCCCAGATTTTCTCTCAGCCATCGCAAGTGTGAAGGAACCTCCAGCGAAAAAGGGCTCCAATGAGACTCGCGGCAGCACTCCAGAGTTTGCGCAGGACATTGATGCCGCGATACCACTTCATCGCCTGCGGACTGGCGGAAGTGGCGCGGCTTGGGCAAATGTAGATGGGCCTTTCAGCCTGCAAGCTGACGCCGCAGCTGCCGCCCCTACAGCATCGGATGGCCTCCCAGACGGCGTGCAGGATAAAAATGCGAGTACGGGGCCCGTTAAAAAGAAACGCAGAGATGGCGTAAGTCCTTTAGCAGCCATAGTAGCACCCTCTCCACCTTCCTTTCCTGCATCTGCTTCTAGCCGGACAGAGGACAACGGCGTCAGTGCCTCCGCCTCTGCGACTAGTAGGAGTCGCAGCAGAAGGACTTTATCCGATTCCCCTCGCCGCTTCTTGCGGGAGGCTTTGGTGAGTTACAGCCGGAGGGATGAGAACTCTATTCCTGATGAGCTTGTGGCAAACTTCGATGGAATGACGTTTTTTCAACTCCTGCAACAGTGCAGCGGCGGGGTCTGCGTCTCCCTGGAGCGCACTGAAGAGGACACGGATGAGCAGAATGGCTCTACCTACAGTCCACCTCCCCTTTCAACCACGACAAACTCCTCCTCGTCGTTGGCCGGCGGCGGGGGCGTGCCAATTGGACGACTCTCAAAGCGTGACCTTCAAGCTCAGTTATCGGCGGCACTGGCGTGGGCATCATCTGCCGTGCACGGCGTAGAAGACGGCGACGACGAGGACGAGGACGACGACGATGACGAGGACGACGACGACGACGACGGTGGTGGTGGTGGTGTGAGGGTGCGGTTGCCGCGCGCAATTCTCGAGACGGCCTCGCAGCTTGATCATCCCTCTGTGGTGTTTGAGCTTTTGCAGTGCAAGGACGCCAAAGGCAGGGGGGCGGAGGCAGCGGGCCGCGGCGGCAAGAACGGCCACTCTGCTGCAACTGACGACGACGAGGAGGATGAGGACGAGGACGACGAGGATCGCTCCTTTCACGATGAGGACTTGGATGACCTCAAGGAGACGACGGAAAAGGTAAGCTCGCTGAGCCTGCACACAATGAAGGAATTGGCCACCTGGTGGAGCATACAGCTTGAAGACGAGAACGAGGAGCTTTACCGCATGACCATCACAGAGCATCTCCGTCTACTTGCCTTTACAATTTGTGCCGTCGTTTCCAACACGTTGGAGCCGCAGGTGTCATTGCCGTCTGCTTCCGGCAGCAACCGGCCTCGGGGCGGAAGCAACGCCAACAGCGAGGCTTTGGGCAACCCGAAAACGCTTGCGGAGGCGGCAAACAGTGCCGTGGACGTCGGCATGAGAGAGGTGGCGCCGCAGAGTGGGGAGGAGCAGGAGGGTCGAGTGCGGAGCCTTCTCTCCCTGCGACACGACATCTGCACACTGAGTGCGGATCACCTTCGGTACTTTGCCAACATCTTTGGCGTCCTCGACCGCTGCTGCTCTCCGGAGGACATATTTATGGCCATCTCTGCCGTCAGTGTGATGACGTTTTTTTCACCACTGCCAACCCCCCTGCTGGAGAAGGTTTGTCATGAGCTGTCGATCTCCACCGTGGACGAGGGCACGGAGTCGGCCGACGCCCACCAACTTCCCCAGCTACTTGCGGAGAAAATAAGCCACTACTTCTACCCTCCACGCCACGCCGTGCCATCCATTGCGAGGCTTCCATTTATGCCACAGATGCAAATTCACGAGCACGCTCCTGGGCGATACACCTGCACCGTGGATAACGCCAAACTCATGAAGGTGATGATGCTGCAGCGATTGGTAAGTAATCGTTTTAGCTGCAACAAGATCCGTTGGCATGCGTTGCTGACCGTGATAGATGACAAGCTGAGCTTTTACGTTTGGCATCGTAACACGGATTCCCTCACCACCCACATGATTGTGCGGACACAAGACCCCAAGAAGAAGCGGAAGAACAACGGGGCCAGTTGCGGCGACAACAATAACAAAGGCAAGAACAACGCTGTTTCGCCAAGCCCAGAGGTGACGCTGAAGGAAAGTTCCGCGTTATTTCTGGAAAAGGAGGTGGAGGCCGCACCTGGGGAGTTGGTCGGCTTCGAGAGTTTTGTCTCACTGACGGTGGCGCTGCAAAGTTCTACGATGTCACAGTCCGGGTATCGTCTGTACAACCGTGTGGAGGATCGACTCATTTTTCAGTACGCCATGGACTTGAAGTGCCCCGGCGGTGCGCCGCTAGTGGACGACGGGGGGAAGAAGTCGACCACAAATCAACAAAGTGGCAAGGGCATCCTTGCGAAGCGGGGATCCGGCAATAACCTGGACCAGACCACAGGAGGTCCGCAGGCGACTGCCGACGCCGTTGCTGCGGCAACGGCTGCGGAGAATGAGAGGCGCCGCAAAGAACTGGAGACGCTTGTGTTCAAGCTTGAGAAGGGCGAGTCACAGCAACGCGACACAATCGAGCAGACGTGGAACAGTGGTTACCGTCAGTTGCTGAACGAGCATGGCAAATCCTACCAGAAGGCTCTGCAGAAGCAGAAGGACCGTGAGCGGAAGATGCTGCTCGCCAAAGTTGGGCCCAGCCCTGAGCTGCTGCGTGAGTTGGATACGCTGTCACAAACGGTGACCACCAATCGTGCACAGGTCACAAAGTTGGCAAAAGAGAAGTCCAAAGAAGAGGTTTTCATTAAGAGGCTCCAGGAACAGATCGAGGATGGCAACCGCGAGGTGGAACGCCTCCGCCAACAGCTCAAGAGCAGCAGTGAGCTACTGTCATCCTTGGAGGCAGAGGCAGCGGCATGTGCCGCACGCAGAAAGGCTCGGCAAGAGTCAAGGCGCCGAAAACAGCGAGATCTGGCAGCAGCACTGCGCATTCCAGAGTTGTCTTCGACCCGTCATGAGACGCTGGCTATTAATGACCTTCAGTCCTTCTGGGCTCCGTCATCCGCGAATAGCGCAACCCCGCAGCTGTTTCCAGCGTCCGTGACATCAATGTGTTCTCCCCCACAATGCCCGCCACCGTTACTAACAGCTGCGGCACCCGGTGTGAGTCCTGACCTTACTTCTGGTCTTGGTGGGGTCCCAGCAGCAGCATCAGCTGCTGCAGTTGCTGCTTCTGGTAATGGTTCCTCCATTCCTCTCCCACGCTCTGCTGTGGGGAGCAGCGAGGGAGGTTTTTCGCCAACGTTGCAGCCTGCTGGGGGAGGAGTAATGGGTGTTGGTCTGTCGACATGGGCGTCGCTGACGGATCCATTGTCGTTCAATACAGGCGTGCAAGGCGGAGATGCAATGAACGCTTTCGGCACTCCATCTACTGCCGCTCTCTTTTCTGCACAGCCGCCGCCACTGCAGCAGACAGACACATCAGCGCATCTTCCCACCGTGGATGTCGCTGTAGGAGTGGGAGTAGGAGGAGGACAGAGCGGCGGTTTCACCGTCACCGCCCCCTTTCCCACTGGCAGTGCAGTACAACGCTTCACACTTGACGCCAATGCCTGTCCATTTACCCCAACGTCGCTGGTGACAGGACAAACGTCTGGCAACACGGTTACCCACCCATCCTTCGCCGTTAAAGCCGGCGCCGCACCTGTTTCAGGACTGTCGCCGCTCTCGGCGTCTCCCATGACTGGCATTTCCGGAAACAGCCCCATTGTTTCAGGAGGCGCGTTCCCTGAGCGACCAAGATACACGTCCGTTTCGACGCCCGTGTCTGGAGGCATTGTTAACGGTGGGGCCTTTTCCAACGACGCACTTCAGGGCACCACGCCGCTCTTTGCTCTACCTGGACTGACAAGTGGGTCAGGGACACAACTGCAACCGAATACAAAGGGTCTTTCACTCAACTTCACAACGGCCCCGTGGAACTAACCCACGCGGTGTTTGCCTGTGAAAAGGTTGGAGCGGGCCCGACACGTCCCAGCACTCTTTTTCTTTATTTGCATATCACTTTCCCCCCCCCCCCTTTTCGTCACCCCGTTACACCTCTCAGCAAAAGAGAAATATATATATATATTTTTGCCCCTTTTCTCTCTTCTACTGTGTGGTTTTGCGCCGAACCGCGGCGGCTGCCAGAGCCGAACTTGGGGGGGGGGCATCCTCCCGATCGTCGCAATGCCCCAAGGCTGCGCGCCTGCGGAGGAAGTGGGAATTAGGGAGTGGGAGGGGC